GTGAATTTTTACTTCCATTCGTGCATTTTCGTTCAATCCGTTTCACTCCATTGCTCCCCTAGGACACGATATTACTTCAACCTAATGCAATCCATCTATTCCATTTAAAGAAAAAGGGGTAGATTATTTTCATAAAATATAAAATTATTATTCTTGCATTGGAAAGAATATTTTCATTCATTGAAGTATTAACTGTTCCATTTAAATCGGCTCCGCCTCGCTGAATGCAACTGTCAATCTTTCAACAAATAAGCATATTTTTTCCCATTGCACTTATAAATATTCATTATTTTTTAGTAACACCTCCCAATCACGTACCCCTCGTCCAAACAGCTAGGGCTCGTAAATGAGAGTTTGAGAGTTTTTAGCATCTCATTGGTGAGGGTAGGCCTAGGCCATGCTACAAAGTACGACTAGGTAGGCATAGGTCTTGCCATGGGGGGAAATATTGTCAAGAAATGTGACTTGAATTTTATTGTTTTCTGCAACAAAATACTACTCTACAGAAGCCAAATATTTCCTGTGGTCACTGTGAAAAAATCGACCATATTTGCCCAAAACGATTCTATTCTATGCGAATAGCGCCACAACTGATAACACAGTGAGGTTTACTCAGAGCTATTAAACAATTCTTACTCTTTACTGCACAGCAGTATGCATGAACAACCATGCACAGCTCAAATATAATATATTTACAGTATATAATATATATTCAGCGCATTGAGAGCCTGTTACTTGCGATATATAAGAATAGTTTTATATCACTTTATTGGTTTGAATGTTCTCCTCTTAGCTGATGTAACAATCTGAATTATTTCTGAAGACTTTCAAATCATGCATTAAATTTAAAGTGTTTTTGTAGTTAAAAACGATCGTTCGTAATAACGTGTCATCGCTGCAAATTTGATGCGCAAAATCGAGAGGTCGTAAATGGGTGGTTCTTAAATGGGAGATTTACTGTTTACTAAAAAAAAAATATTCTCTTCCTGTAACGCTCTTGAATGAGACCATTTTTCATCATCAGCTAGGCTTAGGATGGATAAAGTTTTTTATTTTTTTTTTATTTTTTTTTTTTCGTTGAATGAATGATTGAACCAAAAGTTGTTTGTGCAAACTAAAGTTGATTGTGTAAACTAAAATTTATCGTGTTAACAAAAGCGTAGAATTCCATTCCAGTGTATATGCGCCAACAATATGTGTGTTTGGCTTGTCTTTTGATCAGAATCTGCACTTTGTTCTAAATCAAACACGTGTTAGACCAACGTGTGTTATCAATGCTTCAATGATTCTGCAAAAAAGGTCGTCAGAATTAGCCCCACCATTACTGAGTAGTTGTGGAAAAATGGATGGAGACAAAATAATGATTTATTTCGACGAAGTAGCACACTTCGTACAGGCAAATTACGTTCCCATTGCATCAGTAGCTGCAGTAGGTGAGTAATGTTTAAGAAGGCATTCTTTCAGTTACACTGCTCAAGGATCGATGTTGTGGTAAACATAATCTCTAAAAGCACTATTATTTAGATGATTCAAGTAGAGCCCAGGCTAAATGTAGGCCTAAATTTAAGCTTGGTTTAATTAAAACAACTTGCGATTTATTATGATTTGGATTATAGTAATCCGTTCAGGACGAATCATATTATGATTGACCGATTGGTTGATTGAATTATTTGAGTTTTTGGTGTGAAATACACCAACGAATACCCATATTTCTGTGCCAAGTGAGCAGTACCCTACACCAAGGTACAATCCCATACTCTATTCCGACAAAAATTGTACTACGTTTTACAGTACGTGCCTTACCTGCACACAGAGCAAACAGATTAGACGTCTCCTTCGAGATGATACCCTATTAAAACTTGCATTCGTTTTATATAAACACAGCAAAATTATGAATTCGACGTTTTATGGCAGTAGTATTACGAAACAGAATAGATTACCAACAGAAACCGTGAGCATGTCGATATTTTGTAAACTAGTAGTAGTATTAAGGAATGTTATAGATAATACCAACAGAGAAGAGCCAACATGTCGATATCTCATCTATTCATCTTTTAGTTTATCAAGAGACATTATTATATTATAAATGCAACTATACTTCACTTTACAGAACTGTGGTCCTGGCTAATATTTGTTAATATGTTTTACAATATTTTTCAGTCACTGTTATTTATTTCTTTGCATGTTTTTTTTACTGAATGTCCTACTTTTGGTCAAATAAATTAATGAGTGAACGACTGAGCTGAGCTTCTCCCGTGTTATGATTGATTGATTTATTGATTGACTGTTTAAATAATTGACTTGATTGATTAATTGATCAGTGATTGATGTTGGTTGATTAACTGGTATGTTGATTAACTGGTATGTTGGTTGATTGGTGATTTTGGCTGGTGGATTGGTTAGTTTGTTGATTGATTGATTGATGGATTGTTGGTTTGTTGATAATTGATCAATCAATCGATTGATAGGTTGATTCATTGATCGACTGTTTGGTTGGCTGGTGTGTTGGTTCCTTGTTGGTTATGAAATAAAATGCAAAATAATGAGATAAGGTTTGACATACCGCATGTGAAGGAGAGGTGCGCGCGCAAATCGGGGGAATAAATATTCAACAATTAGGCCTATGACCTTGATCCTTAGCAAATACTCATGAGGAAGACCTAGCCTATATAGTGTGTGTACATTTATATTAATGTTTTTATTATAGGACTCGGTTTTATGCTACTTAGGCGACACTTTTCCGGTGGAAGATGCTACAGCACTGCAAAATTAAATGGAAAAGTTGTGATAGTTACTGGAGCTAATACAGGCATAGGAAAAGAGACAGCCAGAGATCTTGCTAGACGAGGTAAGTGATAAATAGCGATTAGTTACATTTTTACTTGACAGAATAGAATAACAAAATAAAGCATTTTTTTAAATCGAAAATATGCTACTGAGCACTTGCCATTCGATGGCTGAAAATTCAATCGATTGTTGCATTATTTGGCAAACAGTTGTTTTAACACAGGGGTGGCGCCAGGAAGAAAGCCCTTTTATCGGAAAAAAATAAATACAATTTGTCGAGGAGCAGAAAAAATTATGTAGATTAAGTTAGCTTTTTTCAACTCCAAAATTCAGAAATTTTGAGTTAGGTCCGCTCTCGTCAGGGTTCCCCTGTATTCCCGCGGTGGGAACATCGGACCCCCTTTGGAAAATTCTATCGCCACCCCTGAGTACCTCTGACTCTACCACAATAGAGCTCGACATTATATAATGGGGCATTTCGTTTAGTGGTGGATCGGAAGGAGACACGACAGATGTACACCTTCCACTGTTTGAGAGAGTAATGCCCCTCTCACACAAATTCACAATTTTAAGAAACTTGATGCAAATATATTTTGATATGATTCTAAGGTTGTTTTCAATTGTTTTACTATTGTTTATTTTAAGGAGCAAAAGTGATTATTGCATGCCGTAATATGACCAAAGCTCAGAGTGCGGCAGAAGAGATTATAACAGATACTGGTAATAGGAACGTTGTTATTAGACAGTTGGATCTGGCTTCAATGGAATCGATTCGAACATTTGCCAAATCGATCGCTGAAAATGAAACACGGTTAGACATTCTCATTAACAATGCAGGTGTGTAATGTCGTCAGTGTCTAGTTTGTATGTAATGATTAACTTAATTTTAAAAAAATTACAAAATACTGACTAATGTTTGAGGTACGAATAATTCTAGATGGCATTTACTACTACTACTACTACTACCACCACCACCACTACCACTACCGCTACTATTACTACTACTACTACTACTACTACTACTACTACTACTACTACTACTACGTTTTTTATCTGTTAAGGTGTCTACAAGACTGAACGAAATGAGACTGCAGATGGATTTGAAATGAACTGGGGTACTAATCATCTTGGTCCATTTCTCCTTACCAACCTTCTGTTAGACTTGCTAAAAAAATCAGCTCCAAGTCGAATCGTAAATGTATCTTCAATTGGTCATAGCAGTCCAAAAGTGAAAATCCGTTTCGATGATCCTAATTTAAAGAACAACTATGACGTAAATTATGCGTATAGCCAAAGCAAGTTAGCAAATATTCTATTTACAAACGAACTAGCAAGAAGATTACAAGGTAAGCACAAGCATCGATTTATCACAATAGCAAGGATTGAGGAAGTTGTAGCCTTGGTGTCTGAGATGTTTGCCTTCCATTTCAAAAACCATGATTTTTGTTTTTCTTGCAATAATAAGCGATCTAGTTTATAAACAAATATTTATGCTTGGGCCTAGTAGATTAGTAAAGAATTTAAAAAAAAATTAAAATAAAAACATATACAAACCAAAACAATGCTTTATTTTGTAATTGTAGGAACTGGTGTCACCTGCTACTCGCTTCATCCCGGCGTTATAATGACAGAGATTACACGTGACTTGAGCTCCTGGAAACTTACTGTCATATATATGATGTCTATCTTATTTTTCAAGACCCCTAAAGATGGTGCACAGACCACAATACACTGCGCTGTCGAAGAGAGTTTGGCAAACGAAACCGGCTATTATTACAGGTAGGCAAGATGGCCAATTGTGTTGTGGATATCACATACAGCATCATAGCACATCGTCTCCCCATTCTCATTAAAAATATCACTATACTCATTTTAAAGCATTATTGCATTATCCCTTTATCAGAAAAACGTTTGTTATTATCACATTATCTGTTATTTTACAATTTCCAATAATAAAACCTTCAACATCTGCCTCATTTTGTTTCTACAAATCATTTTACTTTTATATCCTCTCTCCTGGACACAATCTCTACCTACCTCTTTTCTAATAACCACCTCTTTTATTGGTTTTTATTTTTTTATTTTCATAACTGATCTTATTGTTATTTGTAGTGATTGTAAAAGAAAAGATGCTGCACCTCACGCTATGGATGAAGAGACTGCAAAGGAACTCTGGGACATGAGTGCTGAAATGGTAAAACTGAACATTAAATAGCCTGACTGTATGCTGTTTATGCTAACTCTCCGGAATTTGGTTTGACCGAGCATACTAATAACAAATTGTCTAGATATCATTTTGTAGATTTATTTTTCAAGTTTCGTGGTTATTAATATTATTAAATTGATTTCCGATGGCAAACCTCATTGAAACTCTTCCCTTTCAAATGGACGCATTAACAAATTCACCAAAACAAATTACTGTACTGCCAAACCAACTCAAGTTAAAGGAGCATGTAAAACTGAATTAAAGCAAGTATTTCATCAACTGGGTACAATCTGCTTGTTGTTTTTCCTATAAGGGTATAGACATTTAACACGCGTGTCTTCGGTCTGCATAATTAAGGACTTTGTGCAGTTAAAAGTCCTTGCTTAAATAATATCTTTAGAAAGACGGATACGGTACCTTGTTTTACTTGACCTTAAACACGAGCAGTAATGGAATTAGGCCCCTCTCCCACCCAACCCCGTTGATCAGTGCTTAGTTACAGGTTTGCTGATTCAAAAGTAGACAGGATACAATGGAGCACACTGTTGAAATGAAATTATCTTGGCGAAGACCCTTCTGTCTGCTGTTCACGAAAACATTTTATTTTATAGGCAAAATACAAAAACAACTCAGATAGGCCTGACTACTGACTTTTAATCAGTTATTTTATTTTTTCCATCTAATTAATGTAAAATGTTTCCATCACCTTATGTGCAATGAAGTATTACTGAATGTAAAGACATTGGTGTATAGTCTCTAACTGAAAGAAACGATAACAAATTATTAGGTCATTCAATGTGTTTTTGTGTGGAAATCATGATATGACCTCTTTACATTAAATAATAGAAATGTTTAGAAAGTATTTCAATTTATTTATTGTGGGCCCCAAATAATTAGCCGCAGCTGAATGGACCACCTTGGGGGTTACAAAGAGTAAAACTGAATGGTTCAGATGAGATATAATTACATTCAAGCAAATACAAACTCAAAGATTCTTTATTGACTAGGCAGACATAAATTAGTGAGTTTTGATTGGTTAGTCTACTCGAGAATCCAATCCAACTTTTGTCTTCATCCAGGCACTGCCTGGTGTATACTTTACTTAGCGGTCTGGAAACTATGGGTTGCAACTTTAATTGGGTCGTGGGAATTTTATTTTATTATTTATTTGGAAGGTCGTCTCAATTTTATAAATTAGGTGGTAGTAAATTTTAGTGAGTCACTTTTACAATATTTATAATAATGCAATTCAAGATCCTAGGTCTTGACATAATTTTGCATGTAAACTTAAAAAACGCAAGTCACGCATAGGTTTGAGGTTCGTTACCTATTTTCAGCTTGTACTGGCTCTTCTATTGTTGTATTTTATGTACTTTATCTAGGCAGGTCGACTTTCTATTAACGATGTAAAATTAAGTGTACAGCCTAAAGAATTGGCAACCATAGTGAATGGAGACGGAAATCGGTGATACAATGAGTTCTTTGCATTCGATTCACTGTTTCGGCAATACCTTTGTAAGGTGATATATGAACTTAGTAAGCGAGAAGAAAACCCCAACAGACTTTACTGAGCTTATTTATGTGAAAACGAAACTATCTTATGCTTATAGTAAGGGAACCTACAACGAAATAGAGATAATAGTAATTCTCCTCTCAGAGGTATAGGCCATTTAATAAATTTAAAAAAAACCCTTTAAGTTGTAAAAATTCAGTTAATTTTTATCGTTTTGGAGCGTATCCGTACAACTATGGCACTCTCAATTAAAATTTTTAGTTTCTTCATATCCTGTTCTAATGAACGAATACTAAATACCAAACACGCAATAGATACATTTGATTTGATGGGGTGTTATCAATGTATTACTCATGTAGTTCTGCAAAAAACCAAGGAGGAGTACAAGGGGCGCACCCTTTGATAAGGGCATGATGAATGGGTAATCTGGGAGTATTCGATCGGTGATTTGCCAATATGGTGGTCCAAAAAAAATTCTCCACACAAGTCACGGTACCTTAATAATTTCTCTTTTTATTACAGGACTGATGTCACAGCTCATATGCCCCTTAGAAATTTAAATGTAATTTTTGTTTACTCATTTTTATATTTTCTCAAATTCATAAGAACCCGGCGAGAATGGCCCCATTTAATCCTGCACTTGTTGTATCCCAGGTAAAAATTCCCATTGAGACCCGTTGAAAAAACCCAGTTGAAAACCCATTGGAAAAATCCACCACGTGTTTTCGCACCCTCTCAATGAGTCCAACGGGTATTAATGGGTCCAACTGGTTTGCCAATGGTGTTTCAACGGGTTTAACTGGTTTTCAATCCCAACTGGTTCAACGGGTTACAGGTTCCCAATGGGTTCCCAACGGGTTTCCAATGGTTTTCCATTGGGTGTTCAATGGGTTTTCTAATGGGTTTCCAACGGGTTTTTAACGAGTTTCCTAATGGGTTTCTAATAGGTTTCCAACTGGTTTTCAATGGGTTTTCTAATGGGTTATCATCTGGTTTTCTACTATGGGTTTCCAACTGGTTCTCAATGGGTTTTCTAATGGGTTTGCAACTGGTTTTCTATTATGGGTTTCCAACTGGTTTTCAAGGGGTTTTCAACTGGTTTCCAACAGGTTTCAATTCCAACTGGTTGAACTGGAATTCAAAAAGATATGAGGTCCAACTGCTTTTTCAAATGGCTTTCAATTCCAACTGGCAAACTGTTATAATTAGTAACTCTGAGTCGCTGCAATATCTATTTACTTACTATATCACCAAATGAATTTAAACAACATTTTTGTTATTACTTATTGCTGTGCATTTATTACTAAATTCCACCAACTGTTACAATTATAAAATACTCTGACCATTTAACAATTATGTATCATATTAATATCTAAATGTAAATTATATTTTTTTAATACGTTCAATGCAATATTTTTAATTTAAGAAAATATGCTTAAAAATCAATTATACACATTTACATTCTATGTTTACTATACTCATAACAATCGATCTATAGTATAAGTACAATGAATTAATAATTAAAAAAAAACAATATGCAGTTATTACTACTGTACAATTTAAAATACATTAAGGATTAAATTAAAAGATTATAGATGATTACAATGCAATTTATTTATTTAAAAAATAAACATAAAAAATATAAATAAATCAATTAAGTGCACTTTGCAGAAATGTGAACTAAAAAAAAAACAATCAACAGATCAATTAATTACTTTTTAACTTGTCAATTATCTTTTGTTAAGTGATGTACTGACTGAAGTGGGAGCTTTCTACAGCGTTCGCCTCCTTGGTATGGCTGTGTGATTACAAATGTTGTTGCTTTTTGAAACAGTCCTGAAAAAGAAAATGAAATATCACTTATTATTTGAAAAAAATATATATATATAACATGGTTCAACTTGATTTAAAACAATGGATTGCTAGATATAGTGGCTTTCAGGGGCTGTGTTAGATTATCACTCCCGCCCGCTTCAAAAATTTGCATCATTTTTTTGGGGGAAAAATGATGCAATTTTGACTGGAAATACATTTTGTTTATAAACAATAAAATTAAACCAGTTTTTATACAATATTATTATTCTTGCCAAATTAAAACAGTCCCTCTCATCAATTAGAAAAAAAAATCAAAAAAGTATTTTATTGTAGTGTTATGATTTAAAAGAAAAAAAATGCCTGCCCTCATCACGTTTTTAAGAGTGATAGTCTAATTTATTTTTTTTCTATGTGCCCTTACATTAGCATATTATTAGGCCCTCATTGGATTAATGCCTATGGAAAACAAACTCCAGCTTCTTGGGGGAGTATTCCATAATGCTGCAGCAGGTACATCAGCGCATGTTGGCATTTAAGTTAACCAGGTACCCACTTATATTCCTGGGTGGAGAGAAGCAATGCAGATAAAATGCCTTGACCAAGGATACAAATGAAATACACAGTGAGGGGATTGAAACCCTGACCTCAATGTTGGGACTGTTCCCCCTGCGCCAAACCACTTCTACTTATTTCCCAAAGCCAGTGGCAATTATAGACCTTACGAGCCCGTATATTAATCAGCTTTTTCTGCCAGGACCATAGACCCTCCTTCAAACCATGTGTCATAAATCAGTCATGTATTAATACATCAAAAAAGTCAGTCACCAGAGCGAACTGGAGCTTCTACCCCATACCTCTATCTGTTCCCTGCACCCAGGTCTGGCGAAGTATGTGTTTTACAATTAATACTACCTGGAGCCCTATGTGCCCTCACCAGACCCTGGCAAAGTGTGTGCTTTACATTAATACTAATTTTAACAATAATAAATTTTATGCACCTGGCTGGTAAAATGACTTGGTATATTAAAATTTAACATAAAAGTTATAAAATTTTACTCATCATTGAGCATTAGGAATAAAGTATGACGTGCTACTGTATCAATCAATAAAAATCTACTATAGGCCAACAACACAAAAAACCCAAATAATTATGTTTCATGTAATTGACCACAAGGCTTATCTTTAGGCTTAATGAATTCACATTAAAATTACCTTGTATTTGTATTACCAGGGCTGATCTATCCTTCTGTAGTTGTGAGCACATCTCTCTTCAATAGCAATCGTCGATGGGATGAATGATTTGCACACGTATCTGTGAGATGTGCCAACACTTATCTGAAAATTCAGAGATTTGAAATATGTTACTTTAAAAAACAATTGGTTAATGAGCAACAATTGACAGGGTAACCATAGAATTAAAACGATATAAATTACTCCATAACTTATCACATCAACTTACCTGTCCATCATTATCTGTTTTTTTTTTTTTTTTTTCATTTTCATTTAGGTACTTTCCACTACTCTACCATGTTCTGTTGAATTAAAAGACATAAAATGAGTGTACTGTATATTGCAAATTATTAAAAGGACAATTAATTTTTAAGAAGGTGGCTTTCTAGTCAAAACAGCAATAAACCAAAATGGCAATAAGTCAAAACGGCAACACTTTTTACCAGAATGGCAATGGATCAAAATGGCAATAAGTCAAAAGGCAATAAACCAAAATAATAATATTAATAACAATAATAATATTATTACTACTATTATTATATCTTATTATTATTATTATTATTATTATTATTAATAATAATATTATTATTATTATTATTATTATTATTATTACTATTATTATAGTAATACTAATAGGCCTAATATTATAACAACATACATACGAACAAATTCAATAATAAAATGGGGAAACACAATATCAAAGCAGCATTCAAATTCAAATAAATAAAACTTTAAAATATATTGGACAACATATGAGAACAATTGATGTACAGTAATTAAAGGTAAAATAATCGAAAAATAAATAAATAATAATAATAATAATAATAATAATAATAATAATAAAAATAATAATAAAAATAATAATAAAAATAATGATAATAATAATAATAATAATAATAATAATAATAATAATAATAATAATAATAATAATAAAAATAATAATAAAAATAATAAAAATAACAAATAATAAATAATAATAGGCAGGGCCTATGCCTTAGCCTAACCTAGAAGTAGTAGCGTAGGTACTAGGACCGCCCTAGCATAGAGCTAGGCGGCGCTAATGAACTTTCGCACCTAACCTTTAATTTTTTTACCTCAACGTTCTTCCCATAGTCAGAACACATAATTGACAAATATTTTCACCTGATTTAAGCACTCAAAAAGTACCTTTTTTCAACAAATAAGCCCACAAATAAGTACAGCGAATCTGTGTTGCTAGCACGACGAGCGGCTGCTATTTTGCAATCAGTATTAAAATTGCTAGAACTTTTAATTCTTAATATTTTTACCTCAATGTTCTTCCCACAGTCACAACATATAATTAACAATTATTCGCTTGATTTAACCACTCACAAAGTACCTTTTTCAACAAATAAGTACAGCGAATCTGTGTTCGCTAGACGACGAGTGGTTGCCATTTTGCAATCAATAAGAAATTGCTAGAATGTGAGTTTGCAGCGTGAAGTTTTTTGATTAAATGTTTATGAAAACTTATCATATTTGCCGTTTGTATGTCATTCTTAATATTGTATGGTGCTGTTGTTTGACTATGTGTGTTCACATGAAATTCACACATACAATAATTACCTCAAAAATTAGTAATGATCCAAATGCGTACAGAGATCGAAAAATAGGACCTAGGGGCCTAGGGCTAATCCAGAAAAGCAACTATTAAAGCCAATGATAAACATCGGTTTACCTCGATTATGAAAAGGAAGTCCAAAAAGATGGTACTGCATGATGCCACATTTTGTTTAATGTTTTTAGTGACCTCTTGGCACACTGGAAACGTTCAAACTACAGCACACTGGTATCTTTATTAAGATTAAGATGACTCGATCCGACAGATGCCATAGTCAAGTAAGATTAATTTTATATTGCTAGAAATCCAAATATAATATTATATAAACCTAATACTAGTTTTACATGTTATCTCAAGAATTAATTGATGATCTATTTAGAGTTCTTAGACATAGTACAGTACGGTAACTTGTTTTAAAAACGCACTTTACAAGTTTACATGGGCCTAATGTGTATCAGTGATCCGACTATAATAGAATATGAATTAGCCATATAATATATTATGTCATACAGTACAACGTTGATCATTATTTCATTAATTGCAGCATAATTATTGTACCAGTTTTATATTATCTAACATTGACCTAATTGTAAAATTATTGTCATGTTGTTTTGTCGTTTTGTTTCAGTTCACCGCATGAATAAAATAGTTTTGGAAACCATAATTGTGGTCATTATTTATTATTGTGGTTGACGCTATAACTGGCGGAATTTAGCTACACACCAAGTTACGCTTACTGAAACCAGTACTATTATGCCTCCCCTTTATTCAAATCAAGAGATAATAAGTTAAACCTCCATGATAATGGACCTTTCACTAAGCCCACCGCTTGGATTAATTGTTGCTAAGGTCCCACAAACATCATAGCTTAATTATACCATGGAGGAAATATATTTCCTCCATGATTATACGTAAACAAGTTTGTAGGACAACATGTGTGTTTGTTGGACAGTAGTTAGTTTTAATTGTCACTCCGGAAAGTTTATGTTTATGCAGTATTTATTGATGTTCTGCTGAAAAGAGTGTGTGAGCGACGGATGTCATTACTCACGTGAGATGGAACGTTATCGGACTACCACATGACAATTGCTCAGTTTGTGTGGTACGTAATAATTATTGCAGTGCCCGATAAGACAGTTATAAGAGTAGCCTTTAACAAATTGGCATAAGCTGATCATATCTTTGAATTCTTCAAGCAGGCCTACGATCTAGGTATTAAGGCCAATTTATACTATAGCAACAAGAGATAAAGATACAAAGCAATTGTGCATATATGAAAAATCATCATAATCATTAAAAAAAACGATAAAGTCGTATTTAGCAGTGACAACGATTTTTGAAGTTTTTCTATGGTTATGACGTCATTTGAAATGATTTGTCAAAATATTTTGTTATTCAATACAATATAGATAAATCGTTGTCGGATTGTCATAATGTAAAAACTTCTCTTATTTCTTTTATTTGCTATATGAACAATTGCTTCTTAGGTTATCGTCTGGGTTCCAGACCCTAATTTTGGTTTAAATACTCTTTATTGCACTTAGTGCGCGCCAAACTTAATTCAATTGGCGTCCCATTCTCGATTTCTGTTTTTATAAATAAGAGACTTGTGGCAAGTCTTAGCTTAGGCCTATTGTTGCTAACAGACCTTAAAGCTGGGCACTAGCTGCGCTCCCTATGATAAGTTTTTGTCTCAGGCCCGTAGCCAGGTTTTTTCCTAACAGTGGGGGAAGGGGGCTGATGGTGGTGTTTAGGGGCTACTCCGGTGGGGACGACGAAACCCACGAAGCCAGAGGATTGTGTTTTATATGGGTCTAAAAATGCTGTGAAATAGGTTATGTTTGGAAAACTGCAGCAAAACATTTTGGGTCTGGTGGGTCTGCCGTACAGTAGTTAGGGTTGAGGATTCTTTCCGGAAATTCAAGGCGTGGGGTGGGTGTGGCTTCGCAAGAAATGAGGGGGTTTGCTAGAAAATGGGGTTTTCCCAACCATAAAACCCCTGGCTACGGACCCGTGTATTTTTAACTCAACACAAGCACGTGTATAAAGGCAAGTTTTTTTTTAGCCTTAAAATTTAGTTTAGCCATGATTTTCAACCCCCTTAACCCAAACCGGCTCACTCTGCAGTAGTATTATTCACCAGGGGAGCATGCTGGTGCACGTGACCGAATGCAGTGGTATAATAATGCCTGTCCTATGTTTATTCATAAAGGTGATAAGAAAGTTACAGTTACCTATTAACTTCATTGAACATTAAAGTGCACACAAATAGGCATGTGACTCGCTACATTATCACTTGAACTTGCTCAGCAAGTGGCGTGATGATTGTATTGGCAGCTAGGTAAGAATTAAAATTCAGTGGCGGTGATCAGCGTGACCACTCACAATTTTTGATATACCAAATAACTGGATCGAAATTACCCAAGCTTCCTGAAAATGCATTAAAATTTGAAAAATATGTGTTTTTCGCATGTATAGTTCCCCTTTTGGTTCAATTTATAAACCATTTTTTATTGTTATTGTTTGTGTTAATTATTAAAATTAATATTCATGAGGTAATAATACGGATAGAAAAATACGCCCTCAGTTGGCCTGTGTTATCAGTGTAGATCAGTGATCAAGTTTTATTATGTAATGCATTCATTAGGTAAGATCAATGGCAACGCAAATCACAAATAAACAATTCTGAACCCATGTTTATAGCAATTACCAGTCAATTAACAATGTTATGTGCCCTTCGTTGAGTTTTGCTTACTTGAATGGACTGAAATATACTTTGTTACTTCTTAATTCTTCCTCTATGTCAAAAATATTTAATTTTCTTAGTAAAAATAAAATACCCAAGGATTTGAACGGATACCCAAGAACCCAAGACCAAGTCAAAATACCCAAGATCTTGGGTAAATACCCAAGCAGTGGTCACGCGGTGATTGCCCGACTGGGATGGGGTCAAAGGTCCTCCACGGGAAAAATCTCCCTAAAGAAAATTATAAGGAAACAGTAAGACGACAGAAAGTGAAGATAGGTAAATAAGAATTATACAAAGATAAGGAAGATAAGTCAATATACGGTTAGCTAATAATTATTAAAATAACAGAAGGTACGGTACGAAAAGAGGAAAGTTTAGGAAGCAAAAAAAAAAAAAATAAATAAATAAAATAATATAGATAAATAATTTAAAAAAAAAAAAACCGTGAAGTGAAATACTAAAGCACAATTGTTCGCATTCCTTAAATTAGGCTAATAAACCCAGAAGATCAAAGCAAGATGTTCTGGGACTCAATGACTGGAGCTCTAGGCCTCCTTGGTTTGCACCCCCTGTCGGACTAGGCCTATGCTTTTCTTGCTTGTTAGATCCCCTGTCTTAAACCTGACTCCTTTGCCTAGAGAGACTAGGCCTACTTGTCAAAATGAGAACATTGTGACATTGCCTTTATCATAATATCTGTCATTTATTATTATATTATTCAAAGAATACAGGTTTTATCTGTATGCGCTGTGGTCAAAGTGATATTTAGTGTGTAATAATTTTAAACTACATTTTTTTTTTCAATTACGTGTCAGAGACAATCGTGATAGGGATATAATACGGAGAGATTTAGCGATGATCGTTTACAGGCGGTCACGTAACCAAACTTGGGTATAAAAAACATTACAGTGCGATATAGCCTGAGGAAAGAATGTAGTTTTGCGTAAACAGCCACCCATGTTAACCGAGATGGCTAGGACAGGCAAAAATACAATTGTTCAAAATAGTGTTTATTTTCTTTCCTAGCGTTCTCCTTGTGTATGCTTTGAAATTTATGTGATCCTTTATAAACCTTAGCTGGCCCTAACATCGCAGCAGGGAGTTGTTCACAACTCCCTGATCGCAGCGTAGTTAGAGGGTCGAAGATCATCATGCATGCGTACCTAATCACCGTAAATGTGCAGGGGCCTAGGCCTGGACATTTTTCGAAAAATCCCAATGTTTGCGGCATTAGCAAAACATTAAGGCAAAATGTCTAAGTTCAACTTCCAATCAATTTTGTATAGTTTGCTTGGAATTATGATGATCTTTACAGTAATAAACAATTGGGACGACCACGATAGAAATCTCAATGTAAAACACCGCTGTCACGCTGTTAGGTCACGTGACGCCCATCGCTAAATCCCTCTATATACTGTATTCTACTATGTAATATTAGTAGGGTAAATAATGACGTAAGAGAGTTTATATAGTCAGCAGCTCAACCAATCACATGCCCACTAACCATCTCGTGAGAATTGCAAACCACATTGGTGAATTCCTGTTTAAGGAGAGACCCGGTGATCTATAAATTCACTCGTTCCACAGAAGCAGACACAAACGAGCTGGATATCAACCCTTTCTATAAGATCGGATAAGATTCGATTTATAAAAATGATGCGTCTTGCAGGTTTTGTAGTGCTGTGCTGTGTGGTTAGTATTTCCAGCGGTCAGGAAAAATGCTGCATTGAACCAGACATGTTCACTCTCACTTCCGGTATGTATTATATAGAATTACTGTAGTATTAGGGCTGTTACATGGTTGACATGTTTTATTTTATCTGTTTGCACGTAGCTGTATTCGCAACTAAATCTCTTTAAAACTGTCACAGAATGTACACGGAGTGTACACACAGCCTATATTTACACACCCACACAGACAATTCTGTTAGAGCCTACAGCTTATACACTCAGGGAGTATCTTACATCTTCCTGGTTGGCCTACTATATGGTTTACTATTTGTAAATTTCACCAATTCCGCCAATTCCATCAAAGTAAACACTGTCGACCTGTGAACCCAATGTCTTTCACCTTGTGTACACTGTGACGTTATTAATGAATGATGCGCCAAGTGCAGTGCCAAAGTGCGTGTATAATTGCGGTTCAATTTATTTCTTGTTTTCTGAATTGCAGTTCAATACAGGAACGTATCCGGGGCCAGGAGATGGGGGGGGGGTGGGAACTGTGTTTATATTTTTAAAGCTTGTTCTTGATAGCCAATACAAATTCTTTCTTATCATTCAAGATGATTTCTTTACATTAAATAAGCATCGACACACGTTATGCTTTTTGGCCTAATATAGACCTACTATATAACATATAGGCCTAAGCGTGATTTTTAAGAATCTTAAATCCATAAATCAAAGGTCAGGTATTTTTAAGATACAGAAATGTGACATGGTTCAGTTTGGTTTTCATCTTTCTGTAAGTTTCTATGAAGTTTTGTTTAATAATAATGATGATGATGATGATGACGATGACGATGACGATGATGACGACGACGACGACGACAACGACAACAACCACCACCATGGTGGCTGGGGTGGGGTTGTTGTGAAATCAATGCTGTGAAGTGTGTAAAGTACACACTCAAAATACAATGTTAAGCTTTATTTTCTATGGTACATCACACATAATAATAAGATCTCTATGGTTACCGAAAATCCCCGATAGAAGATCATGGGAAATATGCTGGCGCTTCATTTATCTTTTAAACAGGTCTATCATTCAAAAAAGATTTACGTCTTTCCCTTGGTATGACATCAGTCGGACCTGACTTAGGGTAGGGCATATGCCTTAGTGAATGCTGAGGCGAGGTTGCATACATTTGTTTTCTGATGTGATCTGCCCATTTTTCGTGATTATGATTATTTTGGATGTTTTTGAGAAGTTGCGGATTCAAGCAACCGCCCACCACCCACCTAAATTATTTTAATGGAAAAATATCCCAAAATATTCATATTTAAGTCTGAAAGTACACTTTCAATCTACAGGTGTCATAAATTTTCTTACCTAACCCCAACCATGTCTGTGACGGATGTGGGTGGTTCCTCAGTTCGTGAAAGTCAATTCCCTGGATCATCTCTTTCGAATTCCTGGATCCGCCACTATTGCATTATTTTTAATGTTCTTAACTAATAGAGGCCTATTATTTATGATGCGTCTATTGCAATTTTCACTTTATCCTCTCAAAATGTTCAGAGTGCGCTACTTCCTAGGGGGTGAAGCCCCATGGACCCCACCGGGGTCGTAAATAACTCACATAACGGCTCATCCCCCCCCCCCTCATTCAAATTCCTGACGTCCCTGTTTCAATATCACTTTGTCATTGGAAAGCAACCAGTGGCACCACCATCATCTCTCCCCACCCTCGCTGTACAGGCGTACAAGGTCCTCCCCACTGAATTAATATTCGCCACTATGGGACTGCATTCCCCCTTCCCCAACATGTCTTACAGGGCTGGACTCTCCTGTCGTCCGATGCCCGACGAGGACCCTCCGTCGTAATTGTCGGACGCCTTGTAGGAAAATTTCTGGAGCTTTCCGCTGATTCAAAAGCTTAGTTTCTTTAAAAAATAACACATTCTTTGTATATGGGGCACAGTTAATCATTTACGCTTCGTTCTATATCAGGTGCGCTCGTTGGTTGGCACGTAGACCAGTACTTTGGAACGGTCGGGCAAACTATATTCATGGTGTTTGATTATACTCAACCACGTTTTCACTTTAACGTAACAAGCGTTGCAGCCGCAAATACAACAAATGTATTGGTGATTGATGATTACAAGCAGGTTGGTAGACTATATTTACAATGTAGTCGCAGATACTGTATAAGAATCGATATGACAATGGCGGGGGTTAGGGTGTGGGGCGAGTAAACGGCTTTTACACGTGGAGTCTCTAGACTCGATAACTTAATGTTATCTTACCTACAGATGGCCGAAAATGGCACTATAAACTTAAGTTTAATTAAAATTTCCCTTTTTTCTTTCTGGAGAAAAAAAAAAGAAAAAGAAAAAAGACAGGTGCTTGACCCACGCCTTAATTCCGCAGAATATATGTTTATATGTATGTACAACGGTTCATGCTTGTGTGCGTGTGTTGTGGGTAAGGGGTGGAGGTATAGTTTCAAATAAAAAAATTATTTTATTTTGTAAGTTCTCGTTGTATTGTGTTTAGATTAAATTGTTGTTTTCATTATTTTAATACTGATATCCCCTTTTTTGTATCTGCTGCCACTAATTTAAACGTGAAATGTAAAATAGTTATTAAATTTTATTATTATTATTATTATTATTATTATTATTATTTATTTTATTTATTATTATTATTTATTTATTATTATTATTATTATTATTATTATTATTATACAAATTAATTAAAAAATGATAACGTATTTTAATTTTGTAGAACGTCGAATGGACTATTGATCCCGTTGCACAAAAGTGTCAGAAGGCACCTTTGCCAGAGGGGAAGGAAATGCCAAAGAAGTGTATACCAGGTGAGAGTCAATGTGCAGCGCCAATTGCGAGAAATGCGATAAAGAGCGGTACACGGTGCGCTGTTTGAATTTGTGGGAAATAACGGCGCGTTCAGCCGATTTTAATTATGATTTACTTCCTTATAATTATCTCCGCCAAGAAATATATTTTTTTCATTTTGCTATATTTGTGTGTGTGTGTGTGTGTGTGTGTGAATCAAATCCTCATATTTCTATTTCCATAACACTTCCATTTCAACACCAATACATTGCATGCATTTTGTTTGTCAGCTGTAAAGGGTAAAACGTACGAGTATTTTAGGTCAGAACATGTTAGAAAGTAGCCGGTGTACAACTAAATTACTGAAACAATGGGACTAGCTCTTCTGCCTGGAGGTACGAAAAGAAGAGTCATTTACGTAAGCAGATAACATAAGCTTGCTTTCGTCTTTGGCTGCGGTCGGAAGACCGATCATTTTGAGGGCTGCATACCGTATTAAGTACAGTAGTTGTATCTGTGAAGCAGGCTGGTAAAAGAGAAAATAAGGACCTTTTGCATTTTAGACTGCACTCGAGAAAGACGGAAACACCCAGTCTTCACATATTGTCATATATACTGTAACATTTTTACTAGTTGATGTTATAAAATATATATTCGTTATTAAGTTTGATGCTCATGTATTTGTTTTCCAGTGCAACGCCAAGTATAGCCTATGGGGCTTTTGATACCCCTTTTTTAGTTGCAAACTGGTCGAAATAACAATTGCATAATTTGTAGTAGGGTCAGCATTTTAGTTAAGTTTATCATAATCGAATGCTGACCTATTCTTTCTATTTCAATGTTTACTTTTCGTCATTGATTTAATGACGCATAATTTGTTGTAGGGTCAGCATTTTATTTAAGTTGATCATAGTCGAATGCTGATTTTGTATTACTCTTTTCGTCATTGATTAAAGTGACAATATCATGCAATACAGTGTATGCGTTTTCATTTTGCGGTGTTTCTGTTTACATAAAGGGCTTTCTAAAAATGAAGGGATTATATTTTGGTGTCGATTATTGACCCTTCAAAGCAAAACGTGGCAGATCAGATATCTCAAAATCTAATCATCTAAAATCTTTCGTGTTAGTGTAATTTAAAAAAAAATAATAATTATGGTTTGTTGCCGGATAGTAGGAACATGATTGTATGAGGAATTATTTATAGAATGAAATTGGTTAGGTATTGTACGTTTGTGAAGAATGGTGGAGCGAAGTGAGGTGGGATGGTAGTTGTGGTGGTTGAAGTAAATTAGGAACATATTTTGGGAGATATATTGTATAGAAAGGGTTTTGCGGTGGGCGGAGATTTGCTCTCTACCGAGTGCTCTTGTTTATTATATGTTTAACCTGATTAGATAGACATGATGTCTGTCAATGAACAGATTTAACCAAATACGCCTAAATAGTAATCTTGATGAATTTGTTTAATATTCCCACTAGAAAAATATAGGCATATCAAATTCAATGTAGGCTTAGAGTAAACAGCATTTTGATGGACAATTTTATCAAAATGCTTAAAAGATTGATAAAATGGTTTCTACAGTACTTTCTTCTACGTTTATATTGTAAGGTAAAACTAATCGTGATAACAATACAAAATTGTAGGCATACTATTTAAATATAACTATTTATTCAGTTCTTTATTTATTTTATTAATAATCAGTCAGGATGTTTATTTTCCAATAGGTAATGCGCAGTATATTGACCAAGTGAATAACCCTGGCGATGTGCTAGTTAATAGGTGGCTTTATGAACTCAAATCTCCAATGGAAAATGGACAGGTGTCAGCTGCAGTTACCGTGGACGGGTGTCTACCAACTGGAGGATCATTTGTTGGTACAACGAACACTTCCGGACAGGACGGTAGGCCTGTTTTTTTTCCCCTTGTTTTTTGGTATTTTCAATGAAAATAGTTTCTCACTATCGGCTGTTGTCTACGACGCTGTTATGCATGTTCCCTTTCCAATTACGTCGGGGAGAGCTAGTGGTGTAAGATAATGACGAAGTGAAAAAAATCCGAGATTCTGTAAAAAACCAGGATTAACTAAGTCTGTTATTATAATACTATATAGTAGGCCTATTTATATTGCCTTGTAGGTTTTAGGTTGAATGAAAATGATAATGATAGTGTTATTATCCCATAAAGATAATGATAAGGGTGTGTCTGTGATTTTCTGCACCAAGGAACGATAAGATTGTTCAAATTTAATACTTAAATTTCGCTTATAATATATGATTTCAGTTGACGTAATGGAAGGCATTGGCTACTACAACTTTGAAGAGTTAAATGATGTTTCAAAATATTTTAAGCTGCCTTCGTACTGTGATTCAAAGTTCAGTGAGGTAAGCAAACAACAGTAAAATTATTTACACCATCTACTTGTGAGACTTTAGCAACAATATCCAGAGGGCTGTGCTTAGCAGAAGGGTTTATACCAATCGCTGCTCTTCCTGTGTAACAGCTTGAGGACCGTAGCTAAATTTAAGTTTCAATTAGTGCACCGTCTTTCGCCATCGCTGTCGTGTGGTCCCTACATTCCTAATACACAAACACACACCGACATGGCCCTCTGTAAGGCAAAAGGTCCATACACATCTACAATATTAATTGGAAGTGAAATTCTCTACTTCATATTTGAATAGTAGAACTTAATAAACCATCCTATATATTAAGCCGAAAATTAATAGGCCTAATGTTTGGATCTTACCACTAAGCCTCATCCCTTGAATTTTGTTGCCAAGCTCCCACAAAACGACGGCTTTAATGTGCGTAATAATGCATGCGTTTTGTGGACGTATTTCTGGTACTCTTCTTATTAGTGAGTTTGTATTGGTAACACTCCGAAAAAAAAGTTTAGATTAATATTCTAAATCATTTAAAATAACCATATAGTTTAAGCATCAACATATACCATTATGTGACATACTTTTATTTTTCTTTATAGCCGATGAAGACGAAGTCGATTAAAGCTGCACAGAAGTATATCAAAAGAAGAGGATTTTTGTAAGCCACCAAATAAACGCGTTAGCAAAATTGTTGATCTGAAAGCAAGTGTTTAAATCCTTTCATGGTTGATTTCTTTGCCGAGTTATCTAACTTTAACATAATGTAGGCAATAATTTGGTTTGGTTTAAGGAGCTTAAAGATATACGGTAGTTTCATATAGCAATACACAAATTATTACTGTAACCACAATATAGAATTCCAGGGCATTCTGCAATACAGTCTATAGGCCTATATATCGTTCTCTGTCTCTCTCTCTATATATATTTATACATTGAAAATACAACATAATTATTTGCATTATCTTGTTCGTTACAAACATGAACATGCCAATTCTTAATTAGTAACGAGCTTTAGTTCGTTAGAGTCTGGTTTCCATAAAAAAGCTACACTGTCGCTATAGTGTTTCCAGTGCAATTACTGTACTGCGTAGCAGTTCCCGACGCAATCGGGAAGGCTCCCCGATTCGATTTAGGAATCGGCATTACTGGAAACTGATAATTGATTGTTGTCTGAGTGGCAGATTGCTTGGTTGTCGTATTTGTTGGTTGGACGATTAATTAAAATGATCATTATAGATGAACTTTAAACTTTTGATACATTCCACATTAAATTACAGTGATTCAGTTTGAATTTATTTTAATAAACTACATCGTAGATTTAAAGTTCTTGTGTGTTTGTTCTGAAGAGCGTAACAGTGCCGTTCCATAGAACATGCTAAGATCGTCACGGAGATTCCCATGTACTGTAAATATATCGTTCCAGTTATGAAAAGGTACCAGGCACAATGGCGTATCAAACATTTAAGGAAGGGGATGCTGATATAAGTGAGAGTAAACACACCACGTCAGCACCAACATGGTTAGCGAAGACACGAATATTTTTCGTTAATTTGTACCTTTGAATTCCAGGAAATTGAACTTAATTTGCCTTATAATTCTTTCTAATATTAATTAAATGGATGCCCGAAATGGCACTTTAATATATATATATATATATAATATATATGTCTATATATATATATATATATATGTATGTATATATACACATATACATATGTATATATATGTATACTGTATATATGTATATATGTGTATATATATATGTATATATATATATATATATATATATGTATATACATAATATAATATAGACATACATATTTCGAAAGGTTTTGTGTGACGAACGACCATTCCCACTTTCTTCTCGTCGGAGACATCAGCACCACCCTACCACCTCCCACTGTCGGGGAACTTTGATTCCCAAGTCGGGGAAATCCTGGCAAATCATTAGAAAATTTGTCTTTCGTAACTAAAAATGAGTCGGCAGTTGGGTGGGTGGTCTTTCCTAGGCCTAGACATTATAGGCAAGTAGTACTGTGTGGTAGCAGTGGGCCTATTGGATATCCAGATTGCCGAAACTCGGTTTACCGAATAGAATGCCACATTCGCCAGTACAATTTTCCGAAAGCCAGTTTGCCGAATGCCAGTTTTCCGAAAGTCAATTGAAATGCAGTCAAGTTGATGGAGCACTAATAATACGATGTATTTGTACTACAAATAGCAGCTAATTGTTTAATTATTTTTTTGGTCATATTCTGTATCATTTTAGCCAGAAATAGGAAATGTAATGATAATCTACAATTATACTTACTGTGGTGATAGTGGTGGCTCCAGAAATTTGCCAACAGGTGGTCTGAATCAAGGGCTGACCTCTGATTTTATCTGATAGCGATGCTTTCCAGTGTGTTTCTCTACTGTATTTTGCCTTTTAATATTTATGGCTCTCATGCGGCTCTCTTTTACCCACCATTCAGTTTTCGAAATCACAGTACGCTGTACTTTCCTATGATAGTGACAGCAAGATTCAGCTGGTTTTGAAAAACTTAGTTCCAGCAAAGTGGCATTTGGACTCGGCAAATTGGTTTCACCAAAATAGGTTTCGACAAACTGGTCGGATGCGGTAGCAGTGGTGGCACCAGTATCCGCTCCCCCACCCCAACCTTGTTGGACAAGCCTGGTCGCATATTGTCCAACAACCATGATAAGGTCATGGGATAGTAGGCCTAATAATTGACTCAAAATAAATTTATTTTGATTGCCAAATTCTAATATTGTGGTCCTAAAAGCACAATTTGGACCATACTAAGCCATAAAAAACTCTTGAACTAATTTTCTGCCATGTAGGGTGGGTTAGGGAAGGCATTTCCCAGCTATTTCCCATGCTTCTCGAGAAGAAGCACATGGCCTTCTATCAAGGTGGTAAAGGTTTCTGTTGGTATTGTTGAGAGGTTTTTTTGAGGGGCACTTATTTGAAGGAGGCATTTATTCGGAGGAGGCTTTTTTGTGCCTAATTGTGTGAACATACAGTAGGCTAACGTTGATTGATCCCAACTTAACCAGGTCTACTGAGCAGCAAAATTAATAGAATACGTTGATAATGATGTTGCTTTCATTAGTTTTGTTTATATAGTCATTTAGGGGTGGGGGGAATATTTACACGGCATCATTTTAAAAAGCTCCCATCTTTAGTACCTGGTACAATGAGGAGCAGGGGCTGCATAGAGCAGAAGTCCACTTTCGATCAACTTGGTCTGCTACCTTTTGGTGTTGACTAAAAACATTAATTTGCGTATCCTTCCATAGTCAATGTGCTTTCAGGTACTAATAATGCTTTAAAAAATAAATAAAATAATAGTAATAATAATAATAATAACTAATTGTTTATTATATAAATACGAATAATATAAATGAAATAATTCGGTACAAAATACCGAATTATTATTATTATAGCTACCTTCGCTCAAATTAAATCTTCAGTTCCAAATTAGAATTGTTCAAGTCAGATTGTGTAAGAGTAAACACCATCATGCTCCACACAGGCTGTCTCACGAATTGTCTTACTCTATTGATCACGTCTCGACAACCCCTCAAACATCGTTATTTAACAAGTCCTAAGTCATTCACCCCTTTTCATGGTTTTACTCCCTTTCTCAGAAACTACACCCTTCTACATACCTACTGTCTTACACATCCCCATCTCTTCAATCACAATTACTAACCACGATGATAAAGCACCACAAAACTCATACCTTCTCTTCTTGGACATTGAACTTGGATGTGTAAAATAATTATAATGATGAAACTGACAGTGGTAACAGTAATAATAATAATAGTTATAATAATAGTTATAATAATAATAATAATAATAATAATAATAATAATAATAATAGTAATAATAGTACTAATAATAATAATAGTAATGATAATATTAATAATAATAATAGTAATAATAATAATATTAATAATAATATACTGACCTTCGGTCATTACCTGCAATAGCTGGTTATATTTAAAAAACAAATTTATTACCCTGCTCGGAGATGAAATGCAAGGTTTGGTCCAGTGTGCAAGAGACATATATAACCCACGTGCACGCAGTAAACACTTTTCCGGTAACAGGGGTTGTCTCATAACGTACTATTGTCAAATCACCACCAGAATAAGGACTCCACTTGAAATAAGCCTTCTTGGAACTTTCGTGGGTTATCCTTGGTGTTTGGCATCGAATACATCCAGATCCAATGGACGGCCTAGCACTTCTACAAAGTGCACCAGAGCAGGTAATGTCACTCACATTAATTTAAATGACCTATAGTTTTAATTTGTTTTCTTCGAAAAAATTAAAGGCCGGGGTGGGAGTGTTGGTTTGCTTGCGTTATTTAATTCTCCCTCGTATGCAAGAATTATACTTGTATTGAAATTAATACGTTAGTACAAACGTACTTAAAACCATCTTTTTGTGCTTTTTAGGCATGGTTCACAAATCCAATCGTTTTTCGATGATGGTGGATATTATTTATTTGAAAGTTTATTAAAAATATAATAATTGAGATAAATAGAAAATTTAAGTATGAGAGTGCTATTTCCAGCCATCAAGAGGTACCATTACCATAAAATCGAAGTAGGCCTACCTCAGCCCCAAACATGGTGGAGTGGATCCTCTATCTCTAAAAAAACCCCTCCCTTGGGCCCCCTCTATTACGAATACCAATATCCGCCCTTGGGGTGGGTGCATGGACGCGATTGATCCCAATGTGGGAGCTCCCTTAGTTTGTTCCATGGATCTTCCCCTGTATATCAAAATATTGCAATTAACCATAATCAAAGCCAAAAGGCAGAGGCTACTTCAAATTAGAAAATTATACTTCTGTAATAATTAATATAAAAGTTTTAATATATATTGTTCCACTGCGGTCAAGGGTAATGGTGAACGATGGAAAATACTTGACATGGGAAGTTATAGGATAAGAGTTGCCCATACTCTGTTGATATAAAAACCTATGATTCAATAAGCTAACACATGTGAATTACTCACCTTAGTGACGTGATGTCTATTGTTAGCAGTACGATATCAAATTAAGTAGTAGTGCTAGGTTTTGGCCGACAAGGGGTGAGGAAGAGAGGGATTCTTTTAAAAGGAATGCCAATGGGGTAGGAAAGAGAGGATGGGGATTCTTTTAAAAGGGAAGGTCAATTTTCCCATCGAGAGCATAAATAAGCGGATTAAATTGAGGTAGGCCTATAGTTCTTAAGATTATACGGAACAAATAACGTCATCACCGTGAGATAAACGCAAACGTGATAAGGGCCGGTATATAGTCCTAGTTCAATTTTAATAGTAAATAATGACGAACATTTAGTAAACAAAGTTTATAGCTAACAGGAAATAGGTAATTTGTTTTGTCAGACCGGCGCGGTGGTCTATAAATTTACTCGCTCTCATCGAAGCATAACACATTTCTAAACACCACCTTTTCTATAAGATCGGATAAGATTTGGTTTTAATATAAATATGATGCGTTTTGCATTTGTTGTAGCGCTGTGTGTTTAGTATTTGCAGCGGTCAGGAAAAATGCTGCCTTAAACCAGACATGTTCGCTGTCACTTCTGGTATGTATTATATAGTATTAGGTCTATGATATTATAATATAGTCGACCCATATTATTTTACCTGTCTGCACACTGATGCACTTTTGCACCTAGCTTTTTCCTCAGGTACAGGGTCCATAGAGTCTATTACACACCCAAATAATTAACCAGTTACTATGGTTTACTCTTTGTATTATTATTATTTTCTAATTCACCATAGAGACAATGCTACACTCTGTGACGTTATAAATAAAAGATGGAAAGCCATTTTGTTTCAATATCATAACTTTATTTTGTTATTGAATAGAAAGCAGCTGTATGCATCACAGTGGTGGCACTAGTGTTGCAGGGGACCCCCGCAGATGTGTATAAGAGACAGGTGTTGGTTTGCTTGCGTTATTTAATTCTCCCAATAAAAAATAAATACTTGCTTTTCCAAATAATGCTATTGTGATTGCACAGTCCTGATATCGTGGTCTAAAAGCACAATTTGGACCATTTTAAACCTTTTCTCGTAAACCTACCACAGGTTTAATTTTTTTAAAATTAATTCTTGGTGCAGACCCCGTCCGTCGTGGACTTTGTTCAGAACATTTCTGAAGCCACCGCTGATGCAATAACATAAAACTCTTTGTACTGTGAAAAAAAAAATTAAATATAAATTTTTTGTTCGCTTCGATCTATATCAGGTTCGCTCGTTGGTTGGCATGTAGACCATTACTTTGGAACAGTCG